TGGTGGATGTTTGAGTTCTCCTCGTGTTTCACCTTTGATTAAAAGTACAAAATATACACAGAGAAGGTCCATGTCACAAGTGTGTAGTTCTGTGAATGGCACACACCCATATATCAGCCCCCAGATTAAGAAAAAACAGAAGGCTGGGGATATAGCTGAGTTGGTAGAGTGCTTGCCTCGCATGTGTAAGATCCTGGATTCAATCCCCAGCACCACACAAACAACAACAACAACCAAAAAAGCAGCTAGCCTCTGCAACTTGGGGGAGACCCTGTTTCAAAATATTCAAGAAAAGGTTGGGGTCTGGGGTTGTGGCTCTGAGGTCGAGTGCTTGCCTAGCATGTGCAAGGCACTGGGTTTGATTCTCAGTACCTCATATAAATAAGTAAGTAAAATAAAGGTCCATCAACAACTAAAAAAATATGTTAAAAAAGAAAAGAAAGGGTTGGGGATGTAGTTCTCAGTAAAGTGCTCTGGGGTTCAATTCCAAATACTACAAAAAAAAAAAATGGAAGTAAGAAAACATAACCAGTCCCTTACATCCCTAGGAAGCCAGCTTACATCCCTCCTGATCCTCTGCCCCTTCCTCACTCCCTCACTCCAGTCTCGACAGCACACATCAGTCATGCCAGCTCTGCACTCTGTGGAACCATATTTATTTGTGTGCTTCTTACATATTGTTTCTGGTCAGTGGTAGATTGTTCATTTGTATTATTTACCCATTCTACTGTGAAGGGCCTGCGTACTGGAGTTTCCAGGCTGGGGCTTTTATGAACACGCTGACTGCAAATTCTGGTCCAAGGGCTGGGGTTGTGGCTCAGTGGTAGAGCTCTTGCCCAGCATGTGTGAGGCACTGGGTTCAATTCTCAGCACCACATATAAATAAATTAAATAAAGGTCGGTCAAATTCTGGCCTATGTCTTTTAATGAACATGTGTGCACAGTCCTATTGGGTGGGGGTCCTCAGTGGCACTGCTGAGCCTTAGGGTGGGTGTTCAGCTTGAGGAGCTTCTGCCCCAGCTTCCAGAGTGTCTGTACTCTTTACACCCTACCCTCCCTGGCTATCCAGAAGAGTCCTTGTTGTTCCACATCTTCACTGGCTGACTTTTTATTTTCTGTCTTTATCATTTTAGCCATTTTGGTGGCGCCCAGTGGCATTGCATAGTACTTTTTTTTTTTTTTTTTTTTTGAGATTGGACCCAGGGCATCCAGATCCAGCATCCTGGGCAAGCACTCTACTACTAGTAGAGCCACATCCCCCGCCCTTTTTAAATTTTTTATTTTGAGATAGGGCCTCAGTTGCTAAGACTAGCCTCAACTTGTGGTCCTCTTACCTCAGCATCCTGAGTACCTGGGATTATAGGCATGCACCACCATGCTCTGCTACATAATGCTTTTTTTTTTTTTAAGAGTCATGTGGTCAGATGTCCCCAACTCACTGAATCTCCCCTGTTTCTTACAGGCCGGGTGCTTGTCCACTGCCGTGAGGGTTACAGCCGCTCCCCAACACTAGTCATTGCGTACCTCATGATGCGTCAGAAGATGGACGTCAAGTCTGCCTTGAGCATCGTGAGGCAGAACCGTGAGATCGGCCCCAACGATGGTTTCCTGGCCCAACTTTGCCAGCTTAATGACAGACTAGTCAAGGAGGGGAAGTTGAAACTCTAGGGCACCCCCACAGCCTCTTCTCTAGAGGTCTGATGGGAAGGCCCTGCTTGAGGGTGTCCCAAGTCACCATGTTTAGGAAACAGTTGTACCCTTCCCCCAGAGTCACAAGGCACTTGCCTACATGTCTGTCCCAACATGGCCCTGGGCCACTTCCCCCTATCCCCAGGGGGCCTATAAAGAAGCTTGCCAAGGAGGGCATTCTTGCTTCCTGATTGTCCTGTTCCTGTAATTTATGTCCTCTTCTTCAGGTGGGCACTTGGGAGGGGAAGGCCTGTGGCATGCATGCTTCTCCATGACCCAGGGCAGGAGGTCTCTGGGAATTGAGGCCTGAGCCACTCACAGGGGCTCCTCATGACCTCCTTCCCACAGCCTAGATTCTCTCTTAAGTGGAGACCTCAGCACCTTGAGCCCAGTAAAGGCACTATGCAAGTGTGGCCCCTCTGTCCCCACCACGTCTGTCACCTGGTTTCGTCACAGCCTTCCACACCCTGCTCATGCACAGAGGCGCATCATGGGGTCTGAAGCTGGGCTGGGGGTATCGTCAGTTAGTGGATGGAAGTTCCTGTGAAGAGGCTGCTTTTTAATTATTTCCTTAGGATTCAAGATATGCCACACAAGGAGCCTGCTTGGGTGGGCAAGTGCGTTCTCTTAGAGGACTCCCCTAAATGCATAGAATTTTTTTAAATGTGCCTCTTTGGAAGGCCAGAGTTCTGAATGCACTGCTTTGGAATATTTCCTTGGACTACTCTGTGACTTCGCTTGTTAGGAGAGCTATGCCTCGGGGCACGGTTTTATTTTTCTTTTTTAGAAAACAGGGTGTTGAGATCCAGCCTATTTAAAAACCCCACCATTTGGAGAATTACAAGGGTTTTGTCTTGAATTATAGTGTTGGCGAGCCCAAGCCACTTGTGCTAACTGCTTTTTTGTCCCAGTTGCTATTCCAAGAACCGGAGGAGGAAGTGAGCCAATTACAGCGTGTGTGCGGGGTGAGCGCGTGGGGGCGTGCCTCTCAGACCCGCAGCCAGAGGACAACAGGGAAAGAAGAGTCCCAGGCGCACACCCTGGCCACTTATAGGTGGCTCAGACCTCCCTGGTGCCCTTGCAGGAGTCCTGGAGTGATGCAGCAGAGAGAGAATGAGCCATGGCGGAGCATCCACCTGGGTCCTTCGCTGGTGGCAGAGCAAACATGAAAAGGACTTCTTAAGGACTTTTTTCAGATGATGTCAGAGTGCACACTAGCACAGTGTGTGCACATTTGCCAGAAGATGGGAGTGTGTGTTGAACAGTCTTGCTCTGGGACTTTACATTCTTGTTATTATGGAAAGTCATGCAATGTTGTGTCTTCATGGTCACTCAGGGCAGAGAGGTGGTCCTCAGCCCAGCTCCCAGCACCTACTCAGAGGTATCTCATCCAAATTTCTGGAATTAAACTCTGGTTTTGAGTGTCAGATATATTTAGGGTGTTGTTCTAGTGGGTGTACCCAGCTCCCCGAAGTCTATTATAAATTTATGTGGGATCACTTGCAAGGATTTGCACAGGAGTCTTGCTTAAAGTGAAAGAAGTGTCAGGGACTTTTGTTGAATATTTGAAATTCAGTTTTAAATTTAAATTCTAGCAGTGTTCATGTCAAGGCGGGGAATGTGCCTTTTTCAGTGACTAGGAGCTTCCAGCAGAGATGAGAAGCAGGTGGCCTAAAAGCCTCACTCCCAGGAGTGCAGATCTCTGATCACAGCAGGAGTAGTGCTGCACAGCCAGGACTGTCCCCATCCTCTTTTTTCTATAAACACAATAGCCCTGAACAACTGGGATCTGTTGTCCTTACCAGATATTGGGTTGTCGAGAGAGACCCACCTAAATGGAGTGGTCATCCCCTGAGCTGTGGACCTCACTTGATCTAACTTGATCCTCATGGGAACCCTATAAAGTTGACAGAGCTCAATCTAATCATACATTGTTACCATTTTTTTTTTTAAAGGAACCTGGGTTCTAAATGATTAAGGGCATAACCCCTAGTGTCCTTAAGGTAGGCAAGACTTTAGGTTTGCTGTTCCAGGAAGCTGGATTTGTTCTTTCCTGTGATACAGCTCAAGAAGGGAACTCCCCAGGAGTGTCCAGGTTCACAGCTCACACCCTTGACCCAGCCCTGGAGAAGGAAGTGGAAAGTGTAGGTCCCTAATGGGGTTAGAATGTGCATTTATTCTTCCAGGTGATTTGTAGCAGCCCTAGGCTTTCTGGGTTCTGCTTCTGGAAGAGGCTCAGGAATAGGCTGTGATTACCCCAAAAGACAGTCAATTACTTAGGCAAAAGCTGCAGGTTGGCCTGGCTAAACAACTAGCACCCCTTGCGGGCGGGCCTCTCTGGAGGTATGAGGTGGGGAAGGCTATTGGGAGAATTATTGTCTTTCCTTTGGGGTTACTTTGCTGAGAACTTGGGATTATTTTTCATTGTCTCTAGGCCTAGAAACCCCATATTTACTTTAGAGATTTAGCTCCTAGTTCTTTAAGTAAAATACAAGTCTATTGTGTAAGAGCCATCACATGCCCAGCCGTGGGTGGGAGCTGTTCTTGGAGAGCTTTTACCCCTGGGAAGTGATGGAATGGAACTCAGGGTGTCCCTCCCCCTCCCCCGACCTGATCCCTTTCTTTGACTAACAGAGCCCCATCCAGGCAAGATTAGAGCGCCAAATTGAAGCAGTCTACCTTTCCAATGGCTGATCTGTTTCCCTGCCACTCTGAGGTAACTCAGAGTTACCTTGAGAGAATATACTACCACCTATAAAATGAGGGGACTTCTCTAGAGAAGACCATGTGGTCTCTTTTGGCTCCCACATTGTAGGGGCCTCCAAGCAAGAATTGCCATTTGAAATTTAGCACCTCCAGGAAATTAGAGGGAATGCATAATACTACTATGGCCAGCAGGTGGCGCTGTGTTCTACCCATTGTGATGCATGGTTCTGAAAGGGAATGTTGGTGCCTTTTATGTCACAAGTTCATAGTAAGATGTTAACAATGTTAAGATGCTAATGTTTTAACCAAAATAAGCACTGATCTTAAATGTTAAGAGATGAGCATTTCCCATGGGAAATTTTATTTGTCATAAAACTAATGTCAGAAATCACTAAAGAGCCAACAAAGATGGTCCTTCTGTGTCAAGATTCTGTCCTGACTGGAAATAGAAGCCATCTTAGAGTGAGAGCGAAGACTGGTTGGAAGCTTAACTTTTGTTCCATTTACCTCCTGCCAGCTTTTAGGATCATTTGATTATAAAGGAGTGGTCTCCTGGAAGGGGAAGGGGAGGTATCAAACTGGTTTTTAAAAAAAAAAGTCAGGCTGGGGGTGTAGCTCAGTGGTAGAGCGCTTGCCTAGCATGCGTGAGGCCGTGGGTTCAACCCCCACCATCTCTCGCTCACACACACAAAAAAAACGCAAGTTTAATGTCCGTTGTATCACCAATCAGTGTTAAAACACTAAAATTGTAACCAAAATAAATGTCTTACCTTACAAAGAAACAGACTTTGTTGTCTTCCTTATCTCAGTTTTACTTATATACCTTGTCTTTATTTGCTTTTTCTGTCTTTAGAAACTATTGTAAAGGGGCTGGGGCTGGGGCTCAGTACTCTTGTCTGTCATGTGTGAGGCACTAGGTTCGATTTTCAGCACTGCATATAAATAAATAAAGATCTATCAACAACTAAAAAATATTAAAAAAAAACTAATGTAAAAATTATCCCTCCTTAGTTAGAAGTTCAATGATGATTATATTTATGCAGTAGATATTTGTTGGACATCTTTCTAGTAACAGTTCCTGAACTGTGGCCTTGTGAAGTGATGCCATTCATAAGGAGTTCAAATGCACAGAAGTTCCATTTCCAAAGCATATGCTGAAATGGGTTAACCTAAATGAACAAGTGGTGTTCAGTTCCTTAAAAGTGGATGTGAAACACATTTGATTAATGTATATTTTTATTATATTTCTAAATGATTAAAATACCTACTTTTAAAACCATGAGACATCTCTCTGGAAATCTGGGGTTCAGAAAATCTAGTTTGAAAGCCCAAGATCTAGATTTAGCTCCAGGTTAGCATTCCTAGACCACAGAGTACTTGGGCCACCACCCTGAGGAGAAAGGCAGGAAGAAGAGGACAGACAAGCCTCCTACCTGAGCTGGCCTCAGGTCAGCCCAACCAGCAGGATGTACCAGGAAGGTGTGTGTGGCGGGGGTGGGGGGTGTGGTGGGGGGACAGACAGTCTCCAAAGGCAGCAGGGATGGTGGCAGTATGTGTGGCAATGGAGGAGTGACTGGTCCCCACCTCAGAGGGCCTGGTCTTCCAAGTAAAGTGAAGCTAAAGTTTTATCTTATTAGGGTTTGGGCAGCCATTGGTCTTTTCTAAGGAGAATGAGTGACAAGCTTTGGGGGGCTACTGTGCCCCAGAAGCTTCTGAATAAGCAGGGAATTTTCAGCTGTGCTGAGACCTTGAACTTTACAAAAAACTACTTTTTTTTTTTTTTTTTTTTTTGGGTGCTGGGATTGAACTCAGGGGCACTCAACTACTGAGCCACATCCCCAGCCCTATTTTGTATTTTATTTAGAGACAGGGTCTCACTGAGTTGATTAGTGCCTCGCTGTTGCTGAGGCTGGCTTTGAACTCATGATCCTCTTGCCTTAGCCTCCTGAGCTGCTGGGATTTCAGGTGTAGGCCACCACACCTGGCACAGAGAACCAATTCTAAATGCAAATAATGAAGTAATTTAGACATCCATCAGTGCAAGCAACTGCCTAGAAACTGATGCCTTCCCAAACCAGATATTCCCTTTGGATCACTGACCTGAGGGAGCACAGTTAGTTTTTAAATGTAGCCAATAAGGAGAATCCTTCATTTCCATTCATTAGAGATGGGCCTCATGAATCAAGTAGGGAATGAAACCAGATGACCTTCAAAATTCTATGATTCTGAGGAGTTGAGGTAGCATAATTTACTTTCCAAGTTTGGCCTGGCCTTCAAAGTCCGATCCAAATGTCATGACCTCCCCAGAGGGAGAGGTGGTTTTCTCCTCTGAGGAAACAATGCTTTGTCTTTAAAAACAACAACAACAAAAATCTGGCGAAGATATGCAACAACAAGAACTCTCATCCATTGCTGGTGTGAATGCAAAAGGGTACAGTTGCTTTGGAAGACAGTTTGGCAGTTTCTTACAAAACTAAACATCCACTTACCATATGATCCTTGGTATTTTTCCAAATGACTTGAAAATTGATGTCCACATAAAAACCTGCACACAAATATTTACAGCAGCTTTATTCATAATTGCCAAAGCTTGGAAGCAACTCAAATGTCCTTTAGTAGGCAACTAGGTAAAGGTGTGCATATCCAGACAATGGAGCACTCCTTAGCACTAAAAAGAAATGAGCTACCATGGTGTGAAAGTACAGGGAGGAAATGTAGATGTGTGTTACTAAGTGAAAGAAGCCAACCTGAAAAGACTACCCTGCTGTGTGAGTCCAATTTTATGGCATTCTCGAAAAGGCAAAACCGATGGAAACAGTTTAAAGAATCAGTGGTTGCCAGGAGCTGGAGAGATGGGGGAGATGAAAAGAGGTGGAGCACAGAGAATTTGGGGGACAGTGAAAATGTTTTGTATGATACTACAACGGTAGTACTGTCACTATATATTTATGTGAACCCACAGAATGTGCTGTATCAAGAGTGAATCCTGAGCCCAGTGCGGTGGCACATGCCTGTGATCCCAGCCATTTGGGAGGCTGAGGCAGGAGGATCGAGAGTTCAAAGACAGCCTCAGGAAAAGTGAAGTACTAAGCAACTCAGCGAGACCCTGTCTCTAAATAAAATACAAAATAGGGCTGGGGATGCTGCTCAGTGATTGAGTGCCTCTGAGTTCAAGCCCCAGTACCCGCCCCTCCCCCCAAAAAAAGAGTGAACCCTGAGCCAGGAGCCATGACACCTGCCTGTAATCTCCCAGTGGCTTGGGAGGCTGAGGATCCCTAGTTCAAAGCCAACCTCAGCAACCCTAAGCAACTCAGCAAGACTCTGTCTCTAAGTAAAATATAAAAGGGGCTGGGGATGTGGCTCAATGGTTAAGTGCCCTTGGGTTCAATCCCCCCCTCCAAAAAAATGAACCCTGAGCTAGGGATATAGCTCAGTGGTATGGCACTTGCCTACTGTGTAAAGGCCCTGGGTTCTATCTCTAGCACTGAAAAATAAAAAAAAAAAAAAAGTGAATCCTAACATAAACTATGGACTTCAGTTGATAATGATGTGTCAATATAGGCTCCTCAGTCATAGCAAACATACCACTCCGGTGAAGAATGTTCATAATGGGGGGTGTGGGGAGAGTGGGCATAGGAGAATTCTCTCTACCTTCTGCTTAATTTTGATGTGAACCTAAAATTGCTCTTTAAAGAAATTAAGTGGGTGCTGGGTGTGATGGTGATCACCTATAATTCCAGTGGTTCAGGAGGCTGAGATAGGATCACAAGTTTGAGGCCAGCCTCAGCAACTTAGTGAGACATTGTTTAACATGAAAAATATAAAGGACTGGGTATGTGGCTCAGTGGTAAAGTACCCCTGGGTTCAATCCTCAGTAGAGGGGGGAAAAATAAGTGGTTTATTTTTAATAAGTGTTTTTTGCAGTGCTGGGAATCAAACCCAGGACCTCACACCTCACACATGCTAGGCAAACACCCAGTCCACGTCTTTTTTTTTTTTTTTTTTTTAAGCATCAGAACCTTTTCTTAGTGACACCAATCACTTTCTACCTGGTATTGGAGTTATTTGGAGGAAGAACTTTCTTCCCTGGTAGGGGGAGCTTCTGGAGGGGACCACATGTCCCCTTTGCCTCATTGAATGCTTGACAAGTAACATATGGATAGGCTGAAAAAATGATCTTTCTAGAAATTAAGGTATGACTATTAAATTTTTTTTAAAAAGCCAAAACTCAAACCCAGCTTTGTCAGCCCTTTGGAGAAACATGCTGTTATGGAATGCTTTGTCTTCCCCCAAATTCATGTTAGACTCAACCCCAAGTACTTCAGGGTTCCTTACTTGGAAACAGGACTGTTGCAGATGTAATTAGTTAAAATGAAGTCATTAGGATGGGCCTTAATCTGTTATGACTGGTGTCCTTATAAAAAGGGAGCATTTGGAAACAGAGAAGTTCATGTAAAGATGAAGGCAGATATTTTAAATATCTATGAACACAATACCTTTATTTTAATTTGTTTTGATTTTTATGTGGTGCTGAGGATTGAACCCAGTGCCTCGCACATGCTAGGTGAGTGCTCTACCGCTGAGCCACAACCTCAGCCCCAGGGTGATTCTTCTACAAGTCAAGGAACACCAAAAACAGTTAGCAACCCACCAGAAGGAAGATCAGGGGCATCTAGCAGATTCTCCTTCACAGCCCTCAGGATTACCAGTCCAGCCCTTGGCCTTGGACTTCTAGCTTCTAGAACTAAGAGACAATAAACTTGTGTTGTTAAAGCCACCCAGGTATGGTACTTAGTTATAGTGGCCCTGCAAACTACCACACATGCCCACTTATATTTCCCTTGTGGAACTGGAGACCTGGCTGGGCTTCCTGGAGAATAGTCCTGTGATAAGTAGCAAGAGCTACCAAGGGAACAAGTTATTGATATATGGAGCTTGGATAACTCTCCAGTGAATTATGTTGATTGAAAGAAGCCAATCTCCAAAGGTCACAGCACTACTTGACTCCATTTGCATAATATTTTTGAAATGAGAAAATTATGGAAATGGAGATTAGGTTAGTGGTTGCCAGGGGTTAGGATCAGAGACCCAAGTGAGGGAGAAAAGTGGGTGTGGGTTATAAAAGGGCAACAGGAAGGACCCTCGTGGTTACAGAGCTGCTGTCTTTCACTGTGGTGGTGGACAGTTGAATCTACATGTGATAAACTTGTATAGAACTATATGCACACAGGCCCACAAGCCCAGGTACACATATGAATGAGTACAGGAAAACTGGGGTGATCTGAATAAGATTGGCAGATTTTGTCAATGTCAATATCCTGGTTGTAAGCTGGGCACCATGGTGCATGCCTGTAACAATCCCAGCAGCTCGGGAGGCTGAGGGAGGAGGATCATGGGTTCAAAGAAAGGCCCTAAGCTATTCAGTGAGACCCTGTCGCTAAATAAAAAATACAAAAAGAGCTGGGGATGTGGCTCAGTGGTTAAGTGACCTTGAATTCAATCCCTGGTGCCTCCCCCCTCCCCCACAAAAAGAATCCTGGTTGTGATAGTGTACTATAGTTTTGCAAGATGTTACCAATGGGGGAAAGTGGGAAAAAGTTACATGGAATCTCTCTGAATAATTTTTTACCAGTACGTGTGAATTTACAATGATCTCAAAATAAAACAATTAAAAAATTACTTCATACAAGAATGTTCACAGAAGTCTCGCTGAGAACAGAAGTTTGGAAATAACCTAAACTCACCACAACAGAGACCCACTGAAACCATGGGGACTGAACTCCAGGGGGTATTGTCTAACTCTGAACAATGACAAGTCTGGGGACCCAGTAGATACTAAGAGCCACCAATGGCTCAACATTCAATGAAAAAACGGATGACAGATGTTGCAGCGGGTTCTCCCTGAGCCACCCTGTGAAAAGCTATGACTGTCCATTGGCAGAGAATAATTCAGAGGGTCAGAGGGATGGGGACCATTTAGAAGTCAAATGGATTCTCTCTCTCTCTCTCTCTCTCTCTCTCTCTCTCTCTTCCAAAATAAACCAATGAAGTGAAATAAAATCCTGAGTTTGGTCATCCTCCAGTTGCTGGCTTTTCCTTTCATCTCCAGCAGGTGGCAGAAGCGTTCCAAGAATGGTGTACTCTCTGCCAGGGTCTGTGGAAGGTCCAATGGTTCTCACCAGCAGGTGGGGGCTCTGAGCATCAACCCGTGAACTCAAGGACCCCCGGGCATCAGAACTGGCCTCTCTGAAATTCAGGGCAAGAAGGCAGTTGTCTGGCCATGACAGGGTTAAGAGTCCACATTCCAGAACAGGGGAAAAGGAGGTGGGGGGCCTGGGGTCCACAGACAAAGGGAGGGGGCAGAGAGGGCCAGCTTCTCACAACATCCAGGCTCTGTTGGGAGAGATAGATCACCCCCAACAATGGCCACAGCTGTTTTTGTCTGCCCTGAGGAAACTGACTTAGGAAGCAGGTATCAGTGAGGGCCCTTCCTGCAGGGGCTTCTGTCTGGCTTGTAAAACTGTCAGAGCAGCTGCATTCATGTGTTGGGTGATGGATGATGAAAAGAAGGAGGACAGTCAGCAGGCCGCAGATGGACACAGTGACTTACAAGTTGAGGCAGGTGGTAAAGGCCTTGCGGAGGCCCTGCAGGTGGGGCACGCTGATTCATTGCCCAGTTAACATACCAAGGCGATCGGGCCAAGCCTTCTTCCCAGCCTCCCTCCAGGGCTAGGGCAGCCTCCAACTACGTTCCCCAATGAAAGCTTCCGCTGGCCCTCCTTTCTTTTCTTGCACCTCAGGTGTGAACCTTCCTGCCCACACCTCTACCCCTCCCTGTGTCCCTCTTTCTACTCCAGGGTTTCTTTGTGCCTAGATGGCCCTGGGATGCCTTCCTGGAACATACCCATGGTATATACCACTAAAGTCTTCCATATTGAACACAAAGCTGGTTTTGAAAAATGTAAGGGGTTGGGAGACAAGGAAAAAAAAAATGTCAGCACTAAAAATGCTGGCTTTGGCTTTTGCTAAGAAAAGGGATTCTGTGTTGTCCACTCCCACCCAGGGCCTGGCCAGGGAAATAACTGCTTGGCACATCAGCCTGTGAGCTGCTGTGAGCCACTGTGAGAGCCCCAGCAGAGAAGTGCCTGTGGTAGGTGTGCCGGGTCCCTGAGGAGCAGGAAGTGAGAGTTCCACTTTTTATTCCATGACCAGAGCCCTTGTGACCTGCTCCTCCTCAACTTGTCATCAGAATCCCACCATCTTGTCCAAGTGGGCACCCTTGCTATGATCCTCCAAATTTCTCTCTTGACTTGCAGAGAAAGCTCTCGTGGTCAGGATAATCAGTGCCCAACCTCATGGAGGTGAAATCAATAAGATTTCTTTAAAAGGCAGCCTTCTTGGGGATTGGGTGCTTGCCTAGAATGCGCGAAGCTGTGCTTCTGATCGCCAGCAAAATACACATACACACACACACACACACACACACACACACACACACACGCACTCACAAAGTATCCTTTGGCTCTGACTGGGTCAGCGGGAGCCAGACACCCCTAGGTCTGTTTGTCGGTGGGGTGACAAATGAACTTGGCCTGAGAAATGGAATGAGCTGGGCTCAGCCCTGTGGAGAACTCAGAGTTGCACATTTTCTTTGTTAAGCTGGTCCGCAGTTTGTTTTGAGAATGCCCGAGGGGCCCACAGAGGGAGCCGATTAAAAAGCGAGAGCTCATTTTGATATCTGAAAACCACAGCTCCTGCACGTGGGAGGTGCCTGGAGAGGAGGCTTGGGCCCTGCCTCACACGCCCCCCTCTCCCTGGGTCACCTGGGAGTGCCAGCAGCAATTTGGAAGTTTGCTGAGCTTGAGAAGTCTTTGGGGAGGGCTTGCTCTGAACACACCCCTTTCCCTCCCCCAGGGTTGAGGGAAACATGGGACCAGCCCTGTCCCAGCCTGTCCTCATTGGCTGGCATGAGGCAGAGGGGGCTTTAAAAAGGCGACTGTGTCTAGGCTGGGGACTGGAGCCTGTGCTACTGGAAGGCTGGGTGCCCTCCTCCGGCTGGCACCATGCAGCTCTCTCTAGCCCTGTGTCTCGTATGCCTGCTGGTGCACGCAGCCTTCCATGTGGTGGAGGGCCAGGGGTGGCAGGCCTTCAAGAATGACGCCACGGAAATCATCCCTGAGCTCGGAGAGTACCCTGAGCCCCCGCCAGAACTGGAGAACAAGACCATGAACCGGGCGGAGAACGGAGGGAGGCCTCCCCACCACCCCTTTGAGGCCAAAGGTATGGGGTAGAGGAGAGAAATGGTAGCCTAAGGGTCTTGGGGATGGATCTGGGGAGACTTTGGAATCTTCTCTTTGGAGGCTTTGGCGACTGAGGTAGAAGTCAGCCATAGGTGCTGGGAGGCTTGCCTGGAGACAGGGGAAGGGTTGCCATTCCCCACCCCCACCCCAGCCTCAGTGTACCGGCAGGGCTGGTCATGAGACCCAAGGGCAGGGAGGGAGGAGACTGGGATGGAGAGGTTAGGACAGTTTTAGGGGTTCCAAAAATGGCTCAAATAATCCCCTCCTGAGAATTCAGGAGTCAGGTCCAGCTGCTGGCACCAAGGAGGGGTAGTGGCACCTGCTGGATGCCAGACACTGGCTGCACACATCAGTCTTGTGGAAGTCCCAGGAGGTGAACTTGAGGAGCTTGAGGGCAAAGAAACCGAAGCTCCAGAAATTGAGTCACAGCCTAGCAGAACTGAGATTCGAATCCAGTTTGATGCAATCCCAAGACAGTCCTGGTAGGGGAGAGTGGGGATGTGGGTGGGGACTGAGACCCCTCTTCTTGCGAAGCAGTGGGAAAGGGAAGCTATAGAGGCCCCCTTCAGTGCCACTTGCCCAGAGGTCTGGCACTTGAAGGAATGGGAGTTGTAGGTGCAGTTTTAGCATCTGACATGGGTGGCAGCTGAGTCCAGGTCCTGGAGGAGAGGCATTATCCCCTGTGCAGCAGTGGACATAGGTGGCACCATCTGTCCCAGGCCTTTGACCCAGACACAGTTTTGTCTTATTCCTGGGGAGGGAGCCTGACCCTATGAGAAGGCAATGGGCCCGGAGGAGGCTGAATTGGGGTTCCTGGTCAGGTCTGCAAGAGAAGCGGGGTGGGATGGGGCTGCACAGCTGGCTCTGCACCTGGCAGGGATGGTTGGGGTAGGGGCTGGAATGACGCTTCAGAGGGCCTCACTGCTCTCTGGCTGCTTTCCATGTGCCAGAGGGGCCCACTGCCCAGGCTGCTGCTGCCTGCCACCCTTCTCTGCCTCACAGCCTGCAGGGCTTGTGGGTAAAGGGACCCTATGGGAGCCAACCAGGGTTTGTATCTTCTAAAATGAGAGAGGGGGGACAAAACACCCTCCTCCTCAACTCCCCACTCTACAGTCAGCTGAGCTTAAATGATTGCTTACAGGGATGTGGGGACCTTGAATACAAGAAGCCCACTTCCCTGGGATCCCATGAAAGGTCACAGCCCCTGAGGAAGCCAAGCACTCAAAACAAAGTCTTGCTTTGCAGAGGAAATGCCTGACCTTTGGGCACTATTCTTGGAAAGCCCCAAAACACCTCTTTCCTGGGCAAATAGGTCACCCCCACACAACACCCCTGAAGGGGTGAAGATACCAAACCAGGCCAGAACCAAGAAAGCCAGCCACAGGAGGTGGCAAAGTCCCACATATCCCCTGCTGGGCTTGATCTCCTGGGTCTGGGACAGGACCCTCTCTAGTCTGGGTCACAGGATTCTTTTTTTTTTTTTTTAATCTTTTTGTGTCAAAATAGAACTGACCCTATGAAACCTTTGGGGGTGGACAGGTGCTCACATGAGGACCAGCTGTTCAAAAAGCTCCCACCCATCTAAACCCACAGTGGTCAAGGTGTACACAGAGGTCCAGCCAGGTCCCAGCAGGTTTCCTCCCACCCAGGGTGTCTGTCAAGTGACCCAGAACAAGAGATGTGCCCAGGAGAGAGCCAGGTATACAGAAGGTGCTTAATCAATGTTTGTGGCAGCTGAACTATAGGCTTTGGGTCAGAGCTCTCTCCTTCTCTGGTAGGGAAGTAATTTGTAAAAATCAGCTCTCTGGACCCTCTCCCCCAGCTCAGTCTCCCATGGATGCCTGAACAAATCGCTTCCACCCAAGAAAGAGCCAAAAGGTGCTGAGCCCCTAAAGAGGGGAGTCAGGAGGCCCACTCTGTCTTTTGGGCAAGTTCTTGTCTCTCCCTGCATCTCAGTGTCCTCATTGGTAATGAGGGGGTTGGACATACTGCCTTTGGTTCCTTTCAAGTCTAATGAATTCTTATCCTGACCACCTGCCCTTCTCTCCCTCTCCTCCCTAGCAGCTGTCCTGATTTATTGCCTTCAATTAACCTCTACTCCTTTCTCCATCTCCTGTTCAACCCTCCCAAGTGGCTGGAAAAGGAATTTAGGAGAAGACAGAACCATGCAGAAGGTGTGGCTAGTACTTACCCTGTTCAGGTCAGGGACCCTGCCACACAGGTGTGGCTTAAATAAAATCAGAAGAGAGCCTTTAGGAGAATAATAATAATACACAATGAGAGTCAACACGTCCAACTCTCCCCATGGGCTGCACGAATGGTATTTTGTGCATTCTACATGTAGTGGATTGATACACTGAATCCCAGGACAACCCCTTTTACAGACTGAAAGAGGAGAGGTTAAGTAAGTTGCCCAACACCACTGGTGTAGTTAAGTGATGGTGCCTTGGTCGGAGTCCAGCAGTCACTTGCTCCAAGGAAAGCCCCAGATCTTCCCACCAGCTCCAGGAGTATCTGGGGCCTTCCTATCATAGGTGCACAGGTGCAAAATCCTCTGGAGGGGGCAGGAGAGGCAGGTTGGGAAAGCGGAGGCCGGGTGGAGAGAGCCGGACCGCGGCCCTGACGCGCGCTTCTCTCTGCAGACGTGTCCGAGTACAGCTGCCGGGAGCTGCACTTCACCCGCTACGTGACGGACGGACCGTGCCGCAGCGCCAAGCCGGTCACCGAGCTGGTGTGCTCGGGCCAGTGTGGCCCCGCGCGCCTGCTGCCCAATGCCATCGGCCGCGGCAAGTGGTGGCGCCCGAGCGGGCCCGACTTTCGCTGCATCCCCGACCGCTACCGCGCCCAGCGGGTGCAGCTGCTGTGTCCCGGCGGCGCGGCACCGCGCTCGCGCAAAGTGCGCCTGGTGGCCTCTTGCAAGTGCAAGCGCCTCACCCGCTTCCACAACCAGTCGGAGCTCAAGGACTTCGGGCCCGAGACCGCGCGCCCGCAGAAGGGTCGGAAGCCCAGGCCTCGCGCCCGGGGCGCCAAAGCCAACCAGGCGGAGCTGGAGAACGCCTACTAGAGCCCGCCTGCCGCCCCTGCCGGCGCCGCGACCAGGCACACCCTGTTCATGCCCCCCGAGCGTGGTTCGATTGTTTGTATTTCATTTTCAAATGCCTGTAACCTAGGGCAGGGAGCCGAAACCTCCCAGGCAGTGCGGAACCCCGGGTGCCCGCAAAGTCCCCCTCGCCCGCCCCTCCAGCGGGTCCCCCAAGGCAGGGGAGGGAGCCGAGAGTCAGACACTGAGCCATGCAGCCCTGCCCACCGGGGCCGCCTACCTTTGCTGGTCCCGATTCCGAGGAGGCAGGAATGGAAGCTTTTTTTTTTTTTTAACCGCCCTGGGGCTTTAGGGGAGCAGTGGGGAGTGTGGAAAGGTCGGGGACTGGTTCAGAGAGTTCGATAAAATCCCCCCCTCCACCTCTCTACCCACCAGAAAGCCTGTGTGTGCCGAGAACACAGGACTAGATATGGTTTCTAGTCCTGGATCTGCCATTAACTTGCAGTGTGACCTTGGACTACAGGATTCTCTTTGGGGAGTTCAGTAATCTCTTTGTAAAATGGGGGTGAGGTTGGGATTAGTATCTCCAGGACTCTGTACTGTAACATGATCCCAAGTGCCCTTTGAATGGGCAGGCGAAAGAGGAGGGGGGGGGGTAGGAGGGAGATTGGATTCATTCAGTACCGATGCAACTTCCCAAATTGAGAGTTGTGTTGCTCTGGTCTGACAGCCCACATAGAAAACAATCAGGAAAAGAGAGTGTCTATTTATGGTTGACAAATTTCTGCAAGAAGCTGTGCTGCTTGCACAGCTTGGCCTCCCCAGATATTTGACTACCTCTGCCTGGTCCATGTCAAAGAAATAAGAGGTAGAGAAGAAGAGGGTCCCAGAGATGGTGAGAGAGACAGAGAGCCCACCCCCTTCCCAAAGAGCAGCGTCCCCCACTTGCCCCATTGTCACAATTTAAAGTCACCTTCTACAGAGAAGTTCAAGGTTAGAGGACCAGAAGAGAGCAGCCACCACCCATTGAAGACCAGCATGTCCCTTCCAGGCATCTCCTGCTGCCCACCACTCACAGACATATTTCTGTCTAGAAAATCCCTTCTTACCGCTCCCACCTGTGATGGTGTATCTTACATTAAAGGAATATTATTGGGGGGCGGGTAACCAGTGCTGTACATACGCTGGGAAATTACAAAGCATAAGAGCTGCCACCCACAAATCTTTTTTTTTTTTGAAAATCACTTCCAGATCCCTCTTACTTTCTGTATAGTTTTTAATTGTTAAAGGAAAAAAAAAAAGAAAATCTTAAACAGAAGCACATGCCATGTGAAAGCCTGTCGGGCTGGTTGTTTTGCAATCCTTCCACGTGGGATTTGTCTTTAAGAATGAAAGTAGTAGTTTTTAAAAGAGTTAAGTTACATATTTATTTTCTCGTTTAAGTTATTTATGCAAAAGTTTGTCTTGTAGAGTGACAACGTTAATATTGCTTTATAAAATACCAGTCTGTTCTTTCAGAGTCCAGAGGCATTGTTAATAAAGACAATGAATCCTTACCCAGAGGATGTGGTCTCATTTTGTCAACCACATACAATGTCATTTGTGTCAGGTAACACCCTTCTCATGGTCACAAGGCCCAAACCTTGTGAGGCACCTTTGACTGTTCTTTGGTGGCTCTTGTGGCAAATGTCCTTCCTTTGAAAAGTCATGTTTGTTTCTTCCTTTCCAAACCTACACCTCATCCCTCACTGGGTCATTGTCATAACCTCAGCATGGTCTCTCCCTTTAGCACCCTGCCCTCCACACTGTCTTCCAAAAATGCTGTTCTCACTCCCGTGCCCAATCCTTCAACAGCTCCTCTACCCAGGATTAAGTGTGGGCTCTCAGTTTGATGTGTCGGGTCTTCCTCGGCTTGATTCCCATCCCCTACTCTGCCAAGTGTCCCTCCAGATTCCAAATGGCCACACTGATCCCAGCCTCCTTAGTTCACAGTCCCTACTTACTACCCTAAGAATTCCTTCTCTTTAGGGTTCATATTACATGCGACCTCTTCTCTGAACCTTCCAGAGATATTCCAGCCTCTGATGAGCCCTCTCTCCTCTGATGTCCCAGCCCCTTTGTCCACGCCACTACTTTGGTTCATATTCTAGGCCTTCCATTGGACATTCTTGCCCTGGCTATCCTGGACAAGTGCTTCTTAGTGCTGAGATAAACACAAAGGCAGGTACACCCCAGGGCCAATTCACAAGGAGCTCAGTAGAGCTTTCTTTTCCAAATGTGGATTTTCTGCTTCCAGTAAGATCTTCAAAAGCAGAGATAATGTCTGACATCTCCTTCAAAGGCTTGTCCTCCTGTGGTACTTTCCAGTGCTGCACACTTCCTGGGACTCAGTAAATGCTCTATGATTGCAATAAGGAGGGATGGTCAACTGCAAAGTTTTCAGTCAAGTTCAGCCTGTCTTGGGGAACCCCACCACCCAAAGTAAGCTCTAGTCCTTCTTCATGGCTTTTCAGTTTAACTCCCAACAACTCCATATAAATTATTTATCAGCATCAGCAATGGAGACATTGTCTGGCCTCAAGAGGCAGTGTGGTACAGTGGGAAGGGACACAGCTTCTGCAGCCAGGTTTGTGTTTGAGGGGACTGAGGCACCAAGGGGCTAATTGTTTCCCTGCAGCAGGCCTGGGCTCATTTCATGGCTCCCACACTCACTCAAGGTGCTCAGAGTCTGGTGGGTTGTGGGTGAATAGTCAGGTCACATCACAGGCTTAGTACCAAGTGCCCACAGGAAACTAGGAAGGGGAGCAAGTGGGAGCTGGAGTGGAGTCAGATACTGTCTGTCATGACTGGAGAAGGGGCAATGAATGACAAGGAGAAAGAGGCTGGTCCCTGTAATGGTAGCATGGACTTCTTTGGGAAAGCCAAGGAGCTGGGTGGGTACTGAAGGGTCTTTGGGTGATGTCCTGTTCTCTGCGTGCCTGGCAGAATTGCTTAGGAGACTAAGCTCTGATTTTTTTTTAACCATTCTCTTACCCTATTTCCAATTTCCCTATAACCATCTGGGGTGCCTGATGGGGTGTTGCCTGCTAAAGAGGTCAGAATTGGCAGTCAGCAGCTGTAGGTAGGAGAAGAGGCATCCATGGGGGGCCACATGAAGTCCACAGCCCAGTGCTGGAAGAGAGGTGGGTGTTAGATGGCACTATGGTTTGGAATGGTTAAGTATGTCCCAACCACCCTGAGGCTTCATGTGCTGTAATTTAATCCCCATTGTGAGGTGTTAAAGTGTAGAAACTGCCGGGAGTAATGGGGCATACCTGTAGTCTTAGTGGCTCAGGGGGTTGAGGCAAGAGGATTGCAAGTTCAAAGCCAGCCTCAGCAACTTAGCGAGGCCCTAAGTAACTCAGAGAAACCCTGTTTTTAAATAAAATATTTTAAAAGGCTTGGGATATGGCTCAGTGGTTAAGCATCCCTGGGTTCAATCCCTGGTACAAAAAAAAAAAAAGGTATAAACTTAATCCAACTCTAGTGTTTAACAGTAGGGTTTTGGGGAAGTGACTGGGGTTAGATAAAGTTCCTAGGATGGATCCCCCATGATTGAATTCTGGTGACTACATAAGAAGAGGAAAAGAGACCAAAAGAGACATACATGCACACTTAATCTCACATCATGTGATGTAACTCCTCAATACAGCCAGGGAGAAAGCCACCATCAGATCCGCCCCCCACCTTGGGCCTCCAGAATCATGAACCAAAACAGACCTCTTTTCATTGGAATGTTTCAAGTCTGAATGATGTTATTAGTAACAGAAAACAGACAAAGATGGATAACAAATAAATGTATACCATAAGATCTGGGAATGCAAGCTCTATAAATAAAAATACAGCTAGCCAGTGAGCAGATAGAGCCCTGCAGTGGCCAGGCTGAGGAAGTGGCATTTGAACTGAGAGCTAAATGCAGTGAGGCATTGATGGACCCTGTCAAGCCCAATGTGCAAAGAGAGAGAGAGAGAGAGAGAACAGCAAGTACAAAAGCCCTGAAGGCATATACAGGGAGGGGAAGGGACACCGCTAATTGCCTTGGGTGTCTTTCTGACGGTCTCCATGCCAAGATTGCTAACCGGTGATCTGGAAGCCAGAGTAGTAATTATAATTATAGAGGGGAGATGTGTGCGTGTGTGTCTCTCTGTGTGTGTGTGTGTGTGTGTGTGTGTGTGTGTGCACTTGTGTAAGACTCTCTGTATGTTCTCCTGATCCTGGCCCTGTAGATTAAAGGCCCCAGAGAGGCCCAATGTGCATATTATTAATGACATTGCTATGGAGACCTTTTCCTTAAAGCTTTTGTTTGCACAAGGAAGGCTGTCAGCGTTGGGCAGATAGATGTATTACAACAAGAAAACCGATGCCCTTGAATTCCTTCTAGGACACCCTATACCCTGAGATTCATAGGCAGTTGTAGGAAACCCTGTCACTCCCATTTCGGATGCCTACCAAATCCAGGCTGGGATAGAAACTGGGGGTTTGCTGGGCTGGGAAGGTGCATGAACGTATCGCTTGTTCCTTCCTGCTACAGCTCTACCCCAGACATCAAAATATATCTAGATGGGCCTGGGATGTAGCTCAGTGGCAAAGCATCTGCCTTGCATTTGCAAAGCCCTGAGTTTGACCCCCAGTTCCAAACAAACAAACAAGCAAACAAAATATATCTAGATGGATTGAGCCAAGCCCTAGGGCCAGGGGTGGGAAAGGATAGGTGGTATGTGTGTGTGGGGGGGAGATCCACAGGCTAAGAAAGTATCTAGAAATGAACTTCTTTGTAGAAAGATTCTTGTTTCTCTGGGTAAGAACACTCTCAGCAGTGAGCGAGCTCAAGTCACAGCACCCACTGCAAACCCCCTTTGAGACAACTTGGTATCAGTCTGCTCTTGAATTTGCACCTAGGCTCACTCCCATGGTGGGCAGCGGTGTGCATGTGCACGTGCAGGTGGTTATCAGATGTCCAAGAATGGTATTGACGTCCAAAGCACTGAACCATGAAGGTCTAGAAATCACATTGGGTCAGAAAGGAAGCCACTTCTGAACAAGACAGAGCCCCATATCTCCAGGGACACCACACAAGAGGCCAAGACCTTGCCTCAGCTCTGTCCAGAAGCCAAAAGAAGCTCAAGTAGGCAGGGTTTTCTCTATGCATTCACCTTTGGGGTCCCCTGAGATCTTTCTCCAGCCCTCCTCCATCCATCGGGGGAGCTATGAGGGAGTGTACAGGCTGGCTTAGAATCTCTGCTGCCAACCCCCTCCTTTGGTAGACCTTTCTTTGCCTTTTTTTTTTTTTTTTTTTTTTTTTTTTTTATGTTCCTGGAGATAAAACCCAG